AAAAAAAGGAGGTAAAGAGAATTGTGTGTTAGCTAGGTGATCTCTAAGCTCCTTTATCTTACATTCTGGTTTTTTGTTTTGTTTTGTCAATCTGTGTAAATGTAACTGAACAAACATAAATGAATACATGTTGCTGGGTGTGTGGTGCATGCCTGTAATCACAGTGGCTCTGGAGGCTGAGGCAGGAGGATTTCGAGTTCAAAACCAGCCTCAGCAGCTTAGCAAGGCACTTAGCAACTCAGTGAAACCCTGTCTCTGAGTAAAATATAAATAAAGGACTAGGGATGTGGCTTAGTGGTTGAGCATCCTGGGTTCAATCCTCAGTACAAAAAAAAAAAAAAATGAATACATGTAAATAGTGAGACTGCTGTGGCAAAAAACTGTTTGGTCTGTTTGAAAGGGAAGAGGCTTCTTAAACCAAGATGGCTTTTTTTAAAAAGTAGGCAAGCAGCTGTAGTTAAGGAAGTGCATACAAAAGACTATTAAAATATTAATCAAACTGTTGGACACTATGGGGGAAGTCCGTTAGCATTGTTTAGATGTGGAAATATATACATCCCTATTCCAAAATTTTAAAATCTGGAATGCTCCAAAATCTGAAGGTTTTTGAATTTATACATGAATTTCTTCTGCCCAGTAACCTCTCATTTGGGAGAAATGGTTCACACATTATCAGAAAGATGTTGTTCAAGAATAAACAGTTATTTTGATATTGTTGGTTTTAAATTAACTTTTTAAAATATAAATATATCAAAAATAAAAGTGATTTTGGTGTTTTTGTTTTTGAGATACACACAAGAGTTTATTTGACAGAGATAATAAATAAAGGCCATCTCTCTATAGGAGAGAGAGGCTAAAGCCTTTTTTGTTGGTTTTTTTTTTTTTTTGTGGTGTTGGGGATTGAACCCAGGGACTTGGGCATGCAAGGCAAACACTCTACCAACTGAGCTAAATCCCCAGCCCGTGATTTTTGTTTTATATTCACATTTAACTAAAGTTTTGTTGTATTGCACAGCTGCAGCATCTATAATTGTATTTTTTTATAATTTACTGTGCAAAAATCCCTCAGTGTAAGCCTGAAGATTTCATTTTAATTGTGAAAGTAATGACAAAATTGTTAATTTTGCATGTAACAATAATAAAATGGCTATCAGTTTTAAGGCCTACCATATTCTGCACATAGGTATAAGTGTTTTTGGAATCTTGCCTTACTTCATTCTTACAAGATTATAGGTGTTTTAAAGACAGTGTTATTCCCATTTTATATGAGTCGATTTAAACTTATGGAAATCACATCAAAGTGTAATAATCAGGAACCCATCAATAGAGTAATGGCATTCTTATGCCCTCCATTTTAAAATCAAATGTTTCTTCTTTTACAATACCTAGTATATAATAGATAGATAATAAGTGTTTATAAAATTTCAACTTCCTCTCCCTAAATTGCTAGGTTTCACATAATATATCTGTTTGCTAGGAAGTATAGCTTTGTTAAAGTATAATTATGACTTTGACTGAAAGAAACTAAACCATATCCTGTTTTGAATTAAAAGATTACTTTTTCCCATATCTGATTTATTAGTAATCCTTGTTTTCATTAGCAAGGTAGAAAAAAAAGAATCTATGCTTCAGAGACAGGAAATTTTACTAATGATTAATATATTCTGGCCTTCAAATATTCTGTTTATTTTTCTCTGAAGTTTAGGTAAAAATCATGTATCTTATCGTTCTATTCTTGGTTTTCTAATGGCAAGAACTAGTGAATATAAAAGTGTACCTGATTTGTGATTAGCCATTTTCTTTCACTCATTTTTTTCATATCTCCCTTGTTCATGTTACCCCTTGGTTGTATGTTAAAAGAGACAGAAAGAGAGGAACTAGGGACTGAACCCAGGGTTTTATGCATATTAGGCAGGAGCACTACTGTTTAGCCACATTCCCAACTCATTTTATTCCTTTAGTGACAGCATCTATTCTATGTCTGGTCATTCTAACTTTCAGTTTCAGGGACTTAATGTGGCAACTTCTTATTCCCTTCCTCAAATATGTCTGTGATGGGTAGATTATTTTATTCTTTTTTTTTTAATAGCAGTACTCAGAATTAAATCCAGGCCTTATATGTGCTAGACAACTACTCTGCCACTGAGCTACATCCCCAGAACTATTATTATTATTATTATTATTATTATTATTCTGCCACTGAGATACATCCCCAACACTGTCAGCGTCATCATCATCATCATCATCATCATCATCACTAATTGTATTTTGAGACAGGCAATCACTTAGTTGCCCAGATTGGCCACAAACTTGGAATCCTCCTGCCTCAGCCTCCCAAGTGACTGGAATTAAGGTGTGCACCATCATACCCAGCTAAATCCTATAATTGAAAGAGCCACTTCTCCTTGTTATGGAATAGTTGTCATTGATTACCTGTTTGCATTTGAGATTGCTGGAATCCAATGACTATAGATACCACTATCCCTTCATGATATCTGACTCTACTGAATGCAAAGTTAGTTACAGTTGTGTTGACAGCTTTGGCCCTACCACTAGGTACATGGGCATACTTTTATCTGGCCAAAGGGAAGAAAATACCATAAATAGAAAAACTATACTTTTTCTCTTAAAATGAGTTATTTTTCCCCTGTTTTTCTTCTGTTTTGAACTGAATTTTTTACTGTTATTAATGTGCTGCTGTGGTGACTTTATGCTCCTCTTGGGAAGAACAAGCAGAGCTCCCAGCCATGAGAAAGAATGGATATCTGTGTGTGAAGTTCTTACTAATTATATAATTTCAAAGTAGGAACTTTGTAATTTCGTACATTCCATTGACCCTACAACCTCTCAATTGATCACAAATCTCCAATATGATTCAAATTTTAGGAATATTAACTATATTGATTAAAATTTAAGTTTTTTTTTTATTATTTGAACAAAGTGTTGATTTAAGGCTACTCTTTGGTATCAGCTGAGTACACGATCCCTGTATATTTCTCAACTCCTTTCAAAAAGTTAGAATGACTTGCCAATCTTTGGTTCCAAAAAAAAAAATGATTTTTTTAAGTTAATTGAATGTCCATATATCTTTGAAGACTATACCTCTCTTGAATTTGCTTGCTCATTTTCACAAAAAGGAAGTTTGTGAAGTCACAGTTTGTAGGCAAAGTTGTCTTGAAATGGAATTCTCAAAACCACTAAGCCGTCTGCTTTTTTCTCCCTCCCTCTCCTTTCTGCTCATTTACTTTCTTTTTTCTTTCCTTTTTTGGGGGTATCCTGTTTGGGTAATATTTGATATCGCTTGGAGACTAGTGCTGTGATGGGTATCTACTGTGTGATATCCACTTACTCCATTGGTGTGAAAGCAACAAGGACTTATTTTCTCCCTTTTGTAGTAAACAGCATTCCAACTGTTTTTGACATCTTTAATTTTAGAGGTTGCCAATGGTCAGATCAGGGTCAAGGCTGACTTCAAATATTTTAGTAAGAGGCAGAAAGGAAAATGAGATCCTAACTTGCTAGCCTCCTGATCTACACATCCCCATTGATGAGTTAAAGCTATATGGGTGTGAAATTTTGTATGGAGGCTTAGGCTGCTTGAGCACCTTTTATCCCATAATAGTTGTGGAATGTGAAGATTTGAATTTTCATGGGGGCACTGATATTTCATGGTTGACAATGGATTTCTTAAGGCCTTGTCATTTCAAATTGCCGTGAGGTCTTGTTATTGCTGCTCCAAATGTGTATATGAACCTGCCTTCCAATGAACTTATTACAGTAGTGCTAACTTGTCTTGACACTCTTGCCGACAGTTCTAGTAGTCTTAAGAAGATCTACTTTCTGTAGTCACAGCACAGGTTTTATGGAGGATTCAGCCTAATTTTTGGAGATGAATTTCTATAGACAGAAAATATATTGGCTTTAAAAATTAAGAGGTTTGATTCTGTTTTGAATTTGGATATCAAATGAATCTGAGCACATGACATTTTAATGTCGTTTGTCTTTTCAAATAGATTTACCTTCTAATGCATGTGACGACAGGACTTTGCTCATCAGCTAGAACATACATTTCAGAGGAGTTGTTACCTAAAATATTATCATAAGGCATAAGAAAACACACGATTTAAGTTGCCTTTCATGAACATAATTAAGAATTAATAAGCCAGTACCAGTGGCTAGTCCCCAGAATTTCCACTGTTTTGCCTTTTGTGACCTGTGTTATTAAAAGTCCATTATTTTTACAGACTTTATTAAATTGGATCTTATTAAAGCATTCTATATTTGCATTTGGTCTTTCATAATTCATTATTATTATGACATTTACTTTTTACCATCAGATCTGAAAACATATCATAAGCTACCCTTTTCTCTTGAAAGAAATGCTAATTTCAAACAGTCCTCTAATAGAAGAGAAAAGCTTTATCAGTTTTTTCATTTATTCCAGATCGTGTTAAGAATACTAATGCTAGACTTCGGTATGCTAATATCTCTGAGCTTTTTTGGCCAAAAGCTTAGAATTATTATTTTTATCCTATACTAAGTACAAAACTAGAAGATCTTCTAATATACTAGAGAACACGTAATTCTTGAAGTGCAATTCTTGATTCTAAAGACTTGTGAAAATGTTGCTAAATTGTGTTTCTTAGAATCTTGCTAGTCAGTCTGTCTTGATACCATGCTATATTATTTGTTCTATTTAAGAAAGTCTGTCCTCTTGAAATTCATTTGATAGGTTTTTCCTCATAGTTTTTAGGTAGTACAGCTTGTAATATTTTAGACTGAGAATCCTATGCTATCACCCCCAGACAGCTTTTAGGGTGTACTTCCTGCTTTTCTATATGATAATCATCTAAGATTTAGTTGAAAGTATAGCAAGATTTTATATATTGATAAAAGGTAAGCTAATTTTTACAGAACTAATAATAAGGGTTTTGTTAGAAGTACTAGTGAATTTATTAAACTCTGAAATGAAACTGACTTTGGATTTTGTCTCATTTAAGGTTTCTGACAATGTGTAACAGACACTTTGGCAGTGTTGTTGCACAAACCATTCGGACTCAAAAAACAGATCAGTTTCCACTTTTCCTGATTATTATGGGAAAGCGATCATCTAATGAAGTATTAAACGTGATACAAGGTAAAGTACCTGTCACAGCAAGAATAAAGTCTTCCCAAGTGATAGCCCTATAATTGTTACCCTTAAAGTTGATGATACTTATTTCTATTAATGAATATATTTGCATTTTAGAGTATCCTGAAAAAAGAATACCTTCAAAGAGTTTGGGTGCTATAAAAAAATGAAATATGCTGCATAAAATTTAGCAGAAACATCTGAATAAAACTGCACTCACTACCTTTTGTACATAGAATATTCAAGTTTTAAATGATCAGAATTGCTATATTCTCTAAATTAGCAATTAGATTATAATCATATGTCAAGTATGACTTCTTATTCATATTGACTTATGAGCATAATGTTGATCAGTTGAAAGAAATGCTTATCTTTTGTTGTCTAGAAAATCAAATGACTGTATATTGCAAATTGAATTGTTCAGTGACAGTTGTTTCTCTCTATTTAATGCATGTCTAAGATGCAGTCCCGAGGCATGAAGCTATCAAATACCTGTAAATTTAACCACCAGTGTACATTCTTTACCAAAATATGTGAATGATTTTTTTCTCTTACAAATCACTCCAAGAATTAGTATTAAAATATTACCTTGTTCATGCCAAAGCTTAAGTGAAAACGGTATATCTTCTCTTTTCCACTGGGAAAATGGTTTTTCACATACCCAAGGTACACCTTTTGTCTGGGATGTTTCTTTTCTGCCTCATTTAAGTCTGATGGGGGAGGGGAAAACTGTAAATTCCAGTACCTTTAAACCCCAAACAAAACAAAACCTCTGGTACTTTATGTCTTCTCTGTAACCTAGAGTATTCAGTTTCATAATGTGTCTATAAAGAGAGCTACTGCAGAGACTGATTTGCATAGGGTAAGTAAATGGATAATGAGAATGAAATTTTATTCTTTTATTCTTATCCATCAGTGGCCATATTGCCATAATTAGTGATTCTCAAAGTGTTGGATATGGACTTGAGATTCCCTAGACCTTTTCAGGGGATCTACAAAAATCAAAATTATTCTCATTATTGTAATAAGGCTTCTCCACAGTTTTTATTCTGTTTACTTTTTTTTTTTTTAAGTGAACCCAGGCCCTTGCACATTGCTAGGCAAGCACTTGACCACTGAGCTCCATCTTTAGCCCTTTTTATTTTACTCAAGACAGGGTCTCACTATGTTTCCCAGGTGGCCTTAAATCTGGAATCCTCCTGTCTCATCCTCCCAGGTATCTGGGTTTATAGCTATGCACTACCATGCTGGGTAATATGCATTAGTGTCTCCAAAGTAATGGTTGTAAAACTGTTTGCACCTTAGCATGAGTCAAGGCCATGACACAAAACTATACTGGTATCGTATTCTTCATTGCCTTGGACTTGAAATTAGAAAAGAAAGGGCCTTTTAAAAATCAATGTCTTTATTAAATTTTAACTCTTTTTTTAAAAAAATATTTATTTTTTAGTTTTTTTTCTGCGGACACAACATCTTTGTTTTGTATGTGGTACTGAGGATCGAACCCGGGCCGCACGCATGCCAGGCGAGCGCGCTACTACTTGAGCCACATCCCCAGCCCTAAATTTTAACTCTTAATAATTTGTGACATAATGGAAAATATAAACACTTATGCTACACACTAATGTACACTGGTTGTCTCAAAGAAAAGCACTTATGGCTTGCCTGAGCTGAACTAGTTTATTTTTTCTCTCCCACCCAAAATCATATTTACTTGAAAATTTAACTGACAAACTGTGCTTATGTATCCTGGATATTTGGCAAACATTTTCTCCAAAATGAACAAAGTGAATTGGTCACTTTCAAGTAAAAGAACTGATGGATATTTGTTGCTAGTAATAAAATGAGTTGTCAAGCATAAAATTATATCCTTCACCATAGATGGACAGCTAAAATACTTTTCTGGTGACAATGTGATTTTTTTTTTTTTTTTTTGGATAGCATATAATGAAGTATGTCAACATTCAGAAGAAATTCATAACTTAACCCATGTTTTCCAAATACATCAATGCATGATGTTATAAAATCAAGCAAAAGATAAAGATCTGTTCATAGGGCAACAGAGGGCCAGGTGTGGTGGTGCATGCCTATAATCCCAGCGGCTCAGGAGGCTAAGGCAGGAGGATCGCAAGTTGAAAGCCAGCATCAGCAAAAGCGAGGTGCTAAGCAACTCAATGAGATGCTGTCTCTAAATAAAATAAAAATAGGGCTAGGGATGTGGCTCAGTGGTCAAGTGTGTGTTCCTGAGTTGGATCCCTGGTACCCAGGGCAGGGGGGGCGGAAAGGCAACAGAGGGCTGGAGTTGTGACTCAGTGGTAGAGTGTGAGGCACTGGGTTCAATCCTCTGCACCACATTAAATTAATTAATTAATTGATTGGTTAATTAAACATATTATTTTAAAAATAATAATAATAAAAGACAACAGAACCAGGTTTAGTGGTGCATGCCTGTAATTCCAGCTTCTTGGGACACTGAGGCAGGAGGATCACAAGTTAGAGGACAACCTGGGCAACTTAGCCAGATCCCATCTTTACAAAATCTACATTAAACGTGCTCCTAAACTTGTTTTGCCATCTTTATCCTGTTAATAACTACCAGTGATTAGGTGTATGCTACATGCCAGACACTTTATATTATCTCTACTTCTTCTAAGAACCTTATAGAAGTCACATTGTCTTTATTTCAAAAATAAGAAAATTGATCCTTAAGAGAACTACATAGCCTACTCATTCTCGTTTTCACTTGTTTATTAAATAAATGTTTATTAAGCCCTTTTCTTATGCTAGGCAATTTCTAGATGCTAGATCATGTAACTTGTAAGCAGTGGATCTTGGTTGAAATTCTAACTACAAAACCAATTCTGTTTTCTTAGTACCAAGATAATGCTTGTCCTTTATCTTATTTATTGAGAGTAGTACTGATATGAACAAATTGGGTCATTTCTTTTGCTAAGAACCACAGATGCTCCCTAATCCCTTATTGCCAAGGATCATATAGAAAATTTGGGAAAGGACAATTGAAAGATGATGTTAGTGAAGCCCTATTCTGGAAATAGCCAGCAAGGATGCTTACTCTTCATTGTCTTGTTGGCTAAATTTCATTAATGTGACAAGAAGACAACTTCTCAGGCCCTGGAGAAAAGTTTTCTGCCTATAGGTTTGAGATCAGAAGAACCGCCCTATATTTGTGTGTTTTTATGAATTTCTTTCTCCTAGTTGCATCCAAAGCAAACAACAAGGACTTATATTTATTCAAGAGATGATAATATATTTGTTATAGACTTGCACAGGGAATAAAATGACATTAAAGAAAATCAAACATTTAAATGCCCTCTTCATAAAAATTATATTATAGTCATTTGAAAGCAGCAAAAGTGGAAAATTATCAGTTGGGATAAATAGGGTTTTTTTTCAGAAATTGTATTACTACTACTTGTTTCAACAATAGTAGGAGATGATTTTAAATAAAGGCAGTGTACTAAAGGTGACAGAAGACAGGCTTTTGGGTGAGACTCATTTGGTTTCAAATCTGGGCCCCACCAATGAACCAGCTTGTTCTTGATTGGTCAGGTTATCTTGAGCTCTCTAAGTCTCATTTTCTCTCATTTTAAAATCAAAATCATAATGAACCCTTAATAGAATTGTTGTACAGATTAAAGTTAGATAATATGTGTAAAGTGCTTAGCCTAACAAGTAACATAAACAATTGGTAGTCGTGCTAGTGTTCTTAAGTAGATATGTTTTCATAATTTGAAAATTTTTGAACCTCTTAACTTGGACATTCTTTATAGTGCTAAAAATCCTTCTCCCTGGGCTGGGATTGATTAATTCTGGAATGACTTTCCATGTTTAATAAATTAAGCCATTTAAAATTATATGTAAAATAAAGTTTGGCAATGTCTGTGTTGTTAGGTAACACAACAGTGGATGAGTTAATGATGAGACTCATGGCTGCAATGGAGATCTTCTCAGCACAACAACAGGAAGATATAAAGGATGAGGTAAGGTGAAAGGTTAAGCAGACCTTTAATAAAATTTTGGTGAGGTAATTAGTCAAATGATGTTGTATGCCTATATCATAATTGGGATAATAAAAATAATTTTCCTGATTAACCAAAGTCTTTTATGCCACTGAGTTTACTTTTTGGTCTCTTTGTTTTATGACTACAACATCTAATAATTTGTTTAAATACATTGACTATTTGCTCTTTGTTAGAGTGGTAACTGGAGGCTAATTTACAAGAAATGAATTTAGAGAAATATTTACAGAAGAAACTACAATCCAGGAAATTCTGTCTACCATATGGATTTTATCATTCACTTTTCTCTCTAGTACTAGAAGAGGATGCTATAGAGAGAGGACTGCTTTTGATAGAGCAATGTATCCAATGCTGGTTGTCTGCTAAGGACAACACCAGGAAATAACTTAATTTTCCATCAGTATTGTGATCTCCTGTTAATACTTTCTGTTGACCTACCCCAATCAGAAGCTATAAGGCAGGATAATTTTTCTGGACCAAAAGCTATGTAGAATATGGATCCAGAGAGACAAAAGGAAGTAAAGGTAGTCCAGATTGGTATGATTATTTTGATTTTTCAACTGAAAAAAGTGAGAGTCAAAGTTAGATAAATTAGACCAAGATCATATGGTTGATAGAAGTTATAATAAAAATCTCAAATAATTCTTAGTATTTTATCAATCAAGAAATTTTCTGGATTTGGAAAATAGCCTGAAGATAAAATATGAAGCAAATATTAACATTTGTTAACTTAGGATGCTTAGTTTACAGATATTTATAAAATTATCTTTCAAATTTTAGTTTTTAATTAAAAATATATTTCTGTAGAATAAACAAGGAAAAATGTATTTCTGAACATTTCCAGGTATAATGGGTGTTTTCAATAGAGTACCCTTAAGTTATTGCAAATGTGAAACATGTAGATAATATTAACATAACCCTGTAGAATTAACATATCTCTGTCCTCCATTAGACTATAAATTTGTTGAGTAAGGATCATAATCATATTCATGTTTGTAAATATCCCCCAACAGTGTACCAAGGAAAAAGTCAGTGCTCAGTAAATGTTTGTTAAATGGTTGAATAAATGAATGTTTGGAAAAATATAGGTGAAATACGGTAACTTAAAAAAAATATGATTACAATGATACAAACCCTGAGGTGTCTACATAAACAAATATGGAATTTTTATAACTAGATTTTTAATGCTCACTAGATTTTTTTAAGTGCTGTAAAGATATTGAGTTTATAATTTTTCTTAGTAGTCAGTGTTTCATTCACCTGAAGGAAAGAGAGTTGGCTGTACGGTAGAAAGATGTTTATCTGTTACTCTATAAATTGACAGTGACATTTTGAAATAATGAACTACTGTTCTTAGTTAGGAATTTGTAATAATAGGTATGTTGCCATTCAAGATTACATTTATCCTGTAAAAGAGGCATTGATTGAATAATGTGTTTAGTGAATTATTGTCAGTCATTTAAATCTTGAGTCTCATTAGTATCAGATTTATAGATTATGTGTAATAAATAGTATGATCATACAATATTTGCATGCATATTCCCAGTTCATTCTTTCATCTTAATTTGTGTTCACCATAATTCATTGGTAAAGAAATTGACTTTAATTCCTTTAATGCTGAGCACAAAATTTAATATGAGGGTTACAGGAAAAATCCAAGGCTCCATATAATTGAAATTTTTATTGAAATTTAACTATAAGAAATAAGGATTTTTTTGTGTTTTTAGAGTGTCTTCATGAGAATTATCATTGGTTATTAATAAAATTCCTAAGAAAAGCTTTGCTAAATTTAAAGACTTCTTTGGAACTATGTATAAATCATATTGATTTAATATCTACTGGATATGTGACAAAAACCACTGTATATTATAATTGTGAACTTGCCTTTAGTTTTAAAAAATTATAAATAACTTCATGATAAACACGTTAAAATCAAATTAGGAAACAGGTTTAAAGTGTAACTTCCTAAGCCTGCATTTATTTAAACTTAACTTTGGTTAAATTACATCCATTGATTCAATGATTCCATTATTTTAGTACAACCAGAGATACCTATGTACAGTATTAAGTTTCCATTAAACTCAAGTCTGAACTTTAATATTTATACTGTAAATCATTCTTCAATGGCGCACAATGAATTAACCTTTATATCATTGATTGCTTTCTCTCTGATCAGGACATATATATGAGCTTCTGTTATGACAGTACTGCCTATAGATTTTTTCTTAGACATTTTTGCTAATATTTTGATTTTATGAAATGTTTATTGAGCATCTACTAAGTACATAATATGGGCTAAGTCCTTCAGACAGAGAGGTGCTTCACTCTCATAAGGGACTGTTGGCAAAGATAATGAGAAAAACAAGTATCATTGTGATATTAGCAACATTTTAGAATCTTTTTATTTTTATTCTTTTTTTTCTTAAAGCTTTATTCCAAATAATATATGCTTCCTAACATTTAAATGAATTAAATTTTCTTCATATGTAATCTTGTTTTAGCTATAGGTAATTTAGAAACCTCTGATAATCAAGAGTATATAATACTTAGTTCCTAATCTCATTTCATTTATTCACTCAACACCAATTCATTTAGAACTCTGTATCCTAGATGCAAGGATTATTCCCTTCAGTCTAGCCTCTAAATTACTTACATCTGAGCAGTAGTAATTGTAACAATCTAGATATTGGAGATCATAGTAGATTTCAAGGGCAGTTAAATTGTGTGTGCCTCTCCCTCTCTCAAGCACACTCGTGCGTGTGTGTGTGTCTGGTTTGTTTTTGGTAATTCTTAGAATATTTTGGCACAGTAAGGGCAAAATATGCCAAAGGGGCATTCATTGCCAGCTTATTTTAGAGGGTTCTGATTTGGGACTTAAAACAGCACTGCCATAGCATGGGAAGGGTATGCTTTTTAGCTCATTGTAGCTTTTGTATTGCCAAAGGAAATTGTTGCCTTTGTAGTTTGCTGCATGAAATTTGTAAATTTTCTTTCTCTTAAGCTTTGTCTTTTTTTTTTAATTGCTTTTATTTTTTAAGTACATGACAGCGGAATGTATCACAATTCTTATTATACATATAGAACACAGTTTTTCATATCTGTATATAAAGTATGTTCACACCAATTCATGTCTTCATACATGTACTTTGGATAATGATGTCTATCACATTCTACCATCATTGTTAACCCCCTGCCCTCTCACTTTCCCTCTCACCCCTCTGCATTATCTAGAGTTTGTCTATTCCTCCCATGCTCCCCCTCCCTACCCCACTGTTTTCTGCAGTTCACTCCTTTTCCTTCCCTTAGTTTAAAACCCTAACATTGTCACTCCCATTCTCTTTGCAGAGCTAACAGTGACAAATAAGATACAGATTTTAATTTCTGCTGCTGTTTTCTTTAAAGCAGGAATAAGTCATTACAAGTCACATAGAGAACAAACACAATCTCTTTGCACAAAAACTTAAAGCAAAGCAAAACTTACTTAACAGACCAACCTTTCAAACGCTATTTTACTTTTATTCCTTTAAAATACACACAGGGCTGGGGGATGTGGCTCAAGCTGTAGCACACTCGCCTGGCATGTGTGCGGCCCAGGTTCGATCCTCAGCACCACATACAAACAAAGATGTTGCGTCCGCCAATAAATAAAAAATAAATATTAAAATTCTCTCTCTCTTTAAAAAAATAAATAAAATACACACACACACACAGTGTCATACACATCACTTCCTAAAGATAACAAGATTACTCATTGCTCAGTAGTTCAGTTAGGAAAGTCATAGAAGATTTACTACTCAGAAGTATCTTTCAGGAGAAAAGGCTAACCACATTAATTGTTAATGATTAGAATGCTAAATGGTTAGTTGAATACACCAGAGAATGCCTTTCTGCTCAGAAAAAGAGTTCTTGATTTAGTCGACTTTTCATCTTTTGAGTATGATAAGCTCATTGACTTTGAGCCTGACAGAGTTTATTTTATGAGAAATTTCTTCATTTGGGTTCTCATTTGATCTAGATATTCAGGTATAACTAAATGAGCTGACAAGCATGTGGTTCTAGTCTGAATAATAGCTACTTGGGTCTTTTTAACTTAATACAAGTTTTAAAAATTTTCTTTATTAAAAATAAAGAAAAGAGCCAAGTGTGGTGGCACATGCCTGTGATTCCAGTGGCTCAGGAGGCTGAGGCAGAACAATTGTGAGTTTAAAACTAGCCGTAGCAACTTATTGAGGCCCATAGCAACTCAGTGAAGCCCTGTCTCTAAGTAAAATACAAAAAAGGGATGAGGATGTAGCTCAGTGGTTGAGCACCATTGGATTCACTTCCCAGTAACAAAAAATAAAAGTCAAAAATAAAGAAAATAGATGAAATATAAAAACCAACCTACTACTCAGAGAGTCATAATATAAATAACCTATCTTTGTGAAATATTGTCAACAAAATCAGCTACCTTCTAATTTTCAATAAACTTCTTAGTATTGTTTAAATATTCTGTTTCTGCTACCTAGAAATTATGATCTTAGAAGTTTTCCTAAAGTTGTTAGTTTGTACATAGACCAGTATGTGTTCAATATTAAAGTCAAAATATTTTTTACCAGTCAATTATAGAAAACAAAAATTTAAATGAAAGAATGGACTGGGACTAACTAACCATGCAAGAATTTTATGTCCATATACTTATTCAACATAATCTACGAATCTGTTACTAACCAGACTCAATTGATGCAGAAAATTTTTGACCAAAATATTTAATATTTGTTTAATGATAAATACACACAATATAGTGGGAATAGAAGGGAACTTCCTTGACATCATAAAAGCCGTATCTGAAAAACCCACTTGTGATGTCATGCTCAGTGGTGAAATACTGAAAACTTTGCTCCTAAGGTCAGGAAAAAGACAAGAATGCCTGCTTTTACCACTTTATCCAACATAAAACTAGAACTTCTAGCCAGAATAAT